GTTGGCTTAATGAGGACAAACGTGTTCATCAGCCAAAACTGGAACTAGGGCCATGTCAGTGGAACTGTGGTTTCGGGTATCCTGAATAAGGAACTAAAGCAGGTGAACATATGTTACAAGCAAGGTAGGTAGGAACTTTGGGACTGTGGGTGGTGTGTGGCTTTTGCCTAGATTCTTTTCAGGTATGGTGTGGTGTTTTTTGTCTTGTTTTTTCCCTGTTTTGTGTGCTGGCAAGAGGTAACCCCAGAAACAGTGTTGGAAGCTTTGTAGTTTTCAGGTGGTAAAATCATAACCAGAGCCTGTTCTAGCCAAGGACAGTAGTGAACATGACAAAGGAAACAGACAAGGTTAATTGGTAAAGTTGTGTCTGTGGATGTTAGAATTTTTTTTTTTTTAATCTTTAGCGGGGAACTTTGTATGTTTTAGATATAATGAGGGCTTAGATAATCGTCATGGCCTTCCACCCATGCTTAAAAATCCGTGTGGCTTGTAAACTTCATTTGGGTATTCTGCTGTAGTCTGTAGGCATTTTTAAAGCTTACTGTTTAGTTAAAAATAACTCGTAGATACCTTGACTTTGAAGGAAATAAAAATTTCCAGGCCACACATCGCCTTTTTATTTTATTTTCTTTTATTGTACTTCAGGTGAAGGCTTACAGAACAAATAGTTTCTCGTGAAACAGTAGTACACCTGTTGTTTTATGACATTGGTTAACAACCCCACAACATTTTAACCCTCTAAATTTTCAACTTTTTTTTTTTTTTTTGGTGAAAATACACATAGCCAAAGATACACCCTTTCAAAAATTTCTGCATACACAGTTCAGTGACATTGACTACACTCTTCCAATTGTGCTGGTATTCTCACTTAAGATGAAGGCTTACAGAACAAAATAGTTTCTCATTTAACAGTTACTACAAATGTTGCCCTATGACAATGGTTAAAAATCTCACAACACATCAACAATATCCTTAGTCAACCTTGTGCTCCCTATCATCAGCTTCCTTCTCCCCTTCTGCCTTCTGGCCCTTGTCACTGGACTCCTGTACCTCATTAGTCTCATTTGGTTTTACTGGGCTGTCCACTCCCAGGCTGAACAGTGAACCTCGGAGGTAACTTCACCACTGAGCTAAAAGGGTGTCTGGGGGCCATACTCGCGAGGTTTCTCCAGTCTCCTTTAGGCCAGTAAATACATGGCCTTTTTTTTGCCCCAAAATAGAATCATATTTTTAAAAATGTCTGCAAAATTTCTCACATTCTGTTTAATTAAAAGTTAAAAATTTTGTGAGATTGTTGAATATCTTATGGATAAATAATATGGATTATTTAATCTATATGGTTTGAATAAGTTAGTGTGTTACATGTGTTTAAGTACCTTTCCCAAGAGAAATTTGTTGATTAATAAAACATTCAACTAAATGTTGATAAAAGGAACGTTCTCCATCACTGAATTTCAGGTACTTTTATTTTTACTTTAATTCTTAATATCCTTGAAGTACTTATTGTAACAACATGATACTTTGTAATCTTTTATACTGTATCTGAATCATTCAAGGTTCAGGCTCTTAGAGGG